GCCCCCGATAGCAAAACCCCCCCCAAAAAAAAAAAAAAAAGACTGGTTTCCTGAAGAGACTTGCCATATTTCTTCTATTGGCTTCTTTCCTACAACTAAACATGTATGTCTGCCGATACAAAGGTCAGACCTGTCTTCAGAATTAAACAACTTTCCAGAAAGTCCATACTTGTGAGATGTAACAAGACTGAAGAAGCAGGAGGAAAAAGAAGACAGTCCCTCTACCCCGTCCCCAAAGCTCTGATGTACTGGTTTCAGTTGTTATGAATAGCAAGTAAGATAAGGAATATGAATATGCTTCAGAAACTATAAAATATGTAAATGGAAGGTAATGATTAGTCCTTATCATGCTGCATTGGAATGGAGAGAATGGTACAGTTCTGTGTGGTTTGTCTCAAACTGCTTCTGCCACCTTGATCTTCAACTAGCTGAAAAGCAAACCAGGTGGGAGAGACTAGCCACAACCCTAGACCAAAGAAGGGGAGAGCCTTCTGGTTAGTTTGAAGAAGACAAATAGGGGGCACTGGCAGGTGGCATGTTAGTTAAGAGTGCTGGACTCCCACATGGCCAACTGTGATTCAAGTCCTGGACCTGGTGGCTTGCTTTCTCACTTTCCCTCTCTCTTTCTCTCACTCACTTGTTTACTCACTTTGTCCCTCTCTGGTCAATTTAATAAATAAATAAATAAATAAATAATGATAATAGAAGAACAAAAAGAAAAGAGCAGGATAAGAGGGAGTAAAGCAAAAAAAATATTGTGGAATAGGTCGGAAATAAAGATCCGAGGCTCCTTTTAATGCTGGGGATTAGCAACGGATTTTAAAAAATCCACATTTCTGTTTAACACAGCAGCAGGTTTTCTATGCTGATAAGAAACCCACACCCTAGAGGGTTGCCTCACACACTCCAAGAGCATAGCCCTTGATGCATTCTTCAGATCAATATTTATCAGCACATATTTTGTGAGCACTTACTATATACCAGGGCTGTACTATATGGTGGATTCATACAAAGTTGTGAATTGAGATAGGACAAAATTCTAGAACAAGAAAACAAAAGCACTGCTGCCTGACATACTCTGAACTGCCTACATCTAAGAAGAGAAATTAGTTCATGAAAGCTGAAGGAGAGAAAGTGGGTAAAAAGGGATGCCCTAGCCATTGTTATTAATATCTCCTACCTAGATGACAAGAAAAGGAGGAATGTACATACCTCTGATGATAATAAAAATTACTGCTGGGCATGTAATTTATGGTAGTTGCTTTTAATCAAAGTATGTCTTACATATTTGTAAATTAAGATTTCCCCCAACCCCAATCCATGGTTTTACTTTTTGTAGTTACTGTTACCTGCAGTCAACCAGGGTCCAAAAATACTAAATGGAAAATGCCAGAAATAAACACGTTGTATGTTTTCAATTGTACACCATTCTGAGTAGTATGATGAAATCTCACGTCATCCTGCTCTGTCCTACCCAGGACATGAATCATCCCTTTGTCCAGCAAATCCATGCTGTACATGCTTCCCACCCATTAGTCACTTAGTAGCTGTCTCAGTTACTAGGTTGAAAAAGCATAATATATATAGGGCTTGGTACTATCTACGATTTCAGGTGTCAACTAGGAGTCCTAAAATATATCCCCTGTGGATAAGGGGGAACTACTATATGTATAACTAAATACAAATGCGCTTAATATTCAAATACAAATAATACTAATACTCAGAACAGTTGCTATACAGTTGACATTTAACACTTAGTAAAATTTTAAATTTCCATCATCTAAACCTGACCTCAAGGATTGCTTTGGGAAACTTACTATTGAAAATAAGCATTGAAATAATTGAAAATTTATTCAGGAAATTCTAGTCAGGTATATTTTCTGCTCTGTGGCTCTCTCTTAGAATATTCTTACTGCACTAACTAGAAGAAGAATGAACAAACCTTGGAAATGATCACTGCCATCGCTAGGTTCTCGGAGTGAGCTGCCACGTAACCAAGCATCATGATGCCAGGCAGCCTGATGTTCCCTTTGCAGGAGCCAATACAATCAATCACAGCAGCAACTCCTCCGGCGTTAACTATCAGCTGTGAAAGCTGAGGGAAGAGAATGAGAGCTACGTAGCAGGGGCTGTAAAGCACAAAATCTTTGAATATTAGTTTAGTGTTGCCACAATTTATTTAGGACCTAAAAACAACGGATATGATTGAAATATCATTTGGTGAAATTACTACATTTATTCAAGAAACATACAAGTCTAATAATCCTGCTATTTCGAATGCACAGAAATACTCACTGTGAGGAGCTTTACTCTGTGATTCAATTTTTCATGCGTTGATGGCACAACTTTTATCCCTATTATAATGGATGTCAAAATTCTTCACCCAGACACTGAGCCTAGGGCTAGTTCATAACTAGCTAACTATTGAAACCCCCAATCACAACGTGTGAGTATGAAGCAGATTAATCACTGAATGCCGAAAGATAATGTCAGACTTGAAATATTCTAACATAATTATCCTCCCTTTGCTGGTAATGATTATTAGCTTAATGCATTTCAGTTTGGAAAAATTCAACCAAATAAAGATGTTAGGTGAAATAAAGAACAAGGACTTTAAATTTTAATCAAATGAAAACTGACTAGTCAAAATATACACAAAAAGAGTACTTTGGAATCAGCACAAGCTTGCTTCTTCTCTACTTCTTTCACATCTAATTACTCAGAGCAGAAAAATTGCTATGTAAGTGCAACTATTATTAGAGTGATCACATTAGGCCAGGGGAATTCTGTGGTGCCTCCCAACCTGGAGGTACATCATTCTCACTATTCCCAGCACTGACCTAAAATGATAAGGATGACAAAGGCCCACAGTCACCACACTTTAGAAATGGAAAGCTGGAAATGATTAGAAACTGAGATTTCAAACTCAAACTCCATTAGTATAACCCAGTGGTTATCAACTGGGAGCAGTTTTGCCCCTTGAGGAACATTTGGCAATGTTTACAGAGACATTTTTGATTGTCATCACTTGGGGGGAGGGGAGCTACTGGCATCTAGTGGGCAGAGGCCAAGGATTGCTGCTAACCATCCTTGTACCACGCACAGGACAGCTCACCACAACAAAGGACTTACCTGGTCCAGAATATTAATAGTGCTGCCCTAACTATATCATGGAACAAGACCTCAGACCCTGAAACAAATTGATGTTTTATTTAAAAACTGAAACTAATTCTAGATTATTGCATTTAGAAGCCTTTTTTTTCTTTTTCTTTTTACCTCAGGTGTATGTTTTGCAATCTCTCTAATTAAAGTAGAAGCATTTTTCTTCACGTATTCATCTTTGTCCTTCAGACAGGTAAGTACAACTGGAAAAATCTCAGCTTCAACAACCATTTCTGCCAGATCCACAGAATGTTTTGCAACCTGACTGAGAGCAGAAAGGACCTGACGCTGTTAAGACAGAAAAAAAAAATTACGTAGAGTGCCTACAGAATTCAGATGTAATTTAAACATATATATATATACATATACATATATATCCAAATTCCTTTATAAAAAGAAGAGAGGAAATTATACATCTAACATAACCTAGGATTTCTGAGTTTTGAGACATTCACATCCTAGTCTCAATTTTTAAAAGTTCCCTGATTTGCAGGTTAATTCCCTACTGACCCTCTTAAAACACTTACCTAAAAACAAAACAAAACAAAAAAGCACTTATTCATTACAGATGATTAAAGAATATGACCTTTGGATGAATAGCATTTCTTAATTATGCAATTCTTTCATTGTTGATTTATGATATATATGGTAATTTAACATAAAAATGATCATGCAGAACATTTTGGCATAATGCTAATACTATGTCAGATAACTTTGCACATTTTAGTTAATAATAATAATTTTAAAACCTTATAGAATGTAACTTAGTATATAAAATTGGTGGCTATTAACAGGAAAAATCAGAGAAAATCATTAAAAAAGACTAATTTAAATATTGCAATTTTCATAAAAACTTAAATATTATTGTGGTAGGTTAGGAAACTTTTAGATCCTTTCCAACCCTGAAATTCAGTCATCATGTGATTGCTTACCTTACTCATTAATGTTAACACTGATGTTACTTTAAATTTTTAACATGTACATAGTTTTACCAATCACACTTCATTGCTTAATCCTTACAGCATTATTTTCATTTATTAAAAGACCAAAACATTATATATTCATATCTCATAATGATAACTATTTTCAGATCTACCATATTAATCTGTACACATTTCCATTTTCTTCCATTTTAAGAAGCCTCATTTGTTTGTTATTTTAACCTTACTTTTAAGTACCTTCAATTTAGCATCGGGGTTGAGGATCATCTGGGCTAAGTGAGCAATAGCTCCTGCGTCCACTACTGTCTGTGCTAACTCTGGAGAATGCTTTGAAATGTCACTGAGGGCCGAAGCAGCAATCCTTTTCAAAGCAATTTCTGGCTCCTGGATACAAAGTACTAAAAGAGGAACAGCTCCCGCATCCACCACAGCTTGTGACAGTTCTGTGGGTCCAAGAAAAGTAATTAAGTGAGTATGGGTGACTGACCCTTGTGCAAGCCATTTTTCACCCTGACAGATACAGCAAAGAAAAAAGGGGAGGGTGTACTTCACTCTCTCGACATCTGCATTTCAAATCAGCCTTCCTGGTTTTATAAACCATGTGGACCAATCCTGAGCTGAAAAGAATACAGGTCAATAGATGGACCTCCATTTACATGAACACATTTGAGGTAGATTAGGCTGAAATGGCTTGTTATTCTTTTTTTTTTTTTTTTTTTAAGAGAGTAAGCAGATGTCAGCTGTTTAAGCTCTGACAATTCTGCACTTCTCAATAGGCAAGCATTTTATGCATGGTTTACAATAACAGAGAAAATTAAAGTACCAAAAATTTACCAACCACACTAATTAGGCAGTATTTTGTGCTATTTACGTGAGTAAACATTAACATGAATCTTGTGCCAATAAAGTTGATTTTTAAATTCCTTTCATTTTGTAGTACTTTTAAAAGACTAAAAAACTGTGAAAATAAAAAACATTCTTATTGTACATGTAAAAATACTTTCAAAAATAAGATCAACATACTTTTAAATATAAACATTAGTGTTTAAAGGAATAAGTTTATCCTAATCATGTTACATGTCAGAAATCAAGTAAATATCTTTTAAATATACAGCATGTTGATTTATTTGTATGTCTAAGAATAAGAACCATAATATAACACATTAAATTAGGCAAGAGGAGAGGGCAAACAGATCCATATGAAACATATGTAGAAAATGTCTTTTGAGAAGTACAAAGCACAATATATGTTTACTCTCATTGTATTCATATCTTCTGAATCACATATACCCAATTTCCTGTAATCTCTTCAAATTGTTTTTATTTTCCAAAATTCATAGTACGTTAGCAATATATAATGTTAATTGTCAATATATCTGTTCAGCATTTCACTTAAAGTCTTTGATTTGAAGAAAATAGTGTTTAAATTTTTAAGATTGGTAATATCACATTTTCTGAAAATGTGAACTTCCAATATTTGTTTTTCTTAAATTATTGTAATTATCATAGAAGTCTTAACAGTGTATACATGATTCATTCATTCTTTCATTAAACCAGGCCCATTCAACTCTGGTGCCAGTGACATACTTCTGCGAATTCATACTACATCCAATATATGTTTCCATTTTTAAAAATCTGGTATGAAATATGGTTCTGCGAATTCATACTACATTCAATATGTTTCCATTTTTAAAAATCTGGTATGAAATATGGTATATAATGAGCAGTTCATATGCAATCTCAAGAATTAGAGGTAAATAAGGGAAAATTTTTTTTAAGAAAAAGAAGATAATAATAGCAACATACTAAGATATCAACCCAGCAAGTAATAGAACAGATTTCTCAGAAGAATCTCTGGGATGCTACTGCTGTAGCCCAAATACCAACAAGACAGCAGGTGAAACAAATGATTGCTGTTTGTCTCCCCCTCATCACTCCCACACTCACCCAAGGGAAATAGGAAGTAAATATAAAGTGTTGTATGTAATTTCTAAGTATACTCATATTTTGTGTTAATTATTAACATGTTACCCATGTTATTCAATTAAATCCAAATTTTACAAATGTCATTATGGTTATTATCAACTACATATGTACAAGTGGACTTCAAAAAGTTGGTGGAAAAGAGACCTGTGGACTAATGGAATAGAATAGAGACCCCAGAAATAACCCCCAAAGCTTACAGCCAACTGAATTTTTGACAAAAGATATCAGTCAATCCATTTGGAAAAGGAAAACCTTTTTAGTAAGTAGTGCTGGAAAAACTGGGTATCCACCTGCAGAAAGATGAAACTGAACCCCCAATCTTTTACCATTAGCAAAAGTCAACTCAAAATGGATCAAAGATCTGAACCTAAGACTTCAAACAATAAAACTATTGACAGAAAATGCTGGGAAACTCTGGGAGATATTGGAGTAGGCAAAGACTTCTTAAATAAGACTCCCAAAGCACAGGCAATAATCCCTAAAATAGACAAGTGGGACTATATCACTAAGAAGTTTCTGCACAGCAAAGGATATTGTAACAAGTATGAAGCGACAACCCTCAGAATGGGGCAATATTTTTGTAAAATATGCCTCAGACAAGGGACTGATAACCAGAATACACAGGGAACTCAAGCACCTTATGTGAAAAAACAAAAAATGATTAACCCAATTAAAAGATGGGAAAATGAGCTGAACAAAAATCTATCTAAGGAAGACACACGAACTGCCAAAAAGCATATGAAGAAATGCTCAACATCCCTAATTATAAGGGAGATGCAAATAAAAACCACAATGAGATACCACCTATCCCCTGTCAAAATGACAAAGATTAAACAAACAAACAATAAAAGGGACCAGCAGTTAACGTAATGGCTATATGGCTGAACTCCCATGTAGCCAACTGCAGTTGGAGTCCCGGACCTGGTGGCTTAAACTCATGCTGGGCATGTGCGTGTGTGTGCCCAAGATCCCAAGAGGAGAATGGAAGAGAAGGGACTGCAGCATGGCCATCTCCCCTGGGGAGTGATTTCTCACTTTCTATCTCTCTGTCTCTGTCTTTTGGGCGAGCACATGCACCCTATAGCAAAAACCTCTCCAAAAAAAGAGAAAGAATGGCGAAGATTAAAAATATAAAACTGATGTGTTGGCAGGGATGTGGTGAAAAGGGAACTCTCCTACACTGTTGGTGGGAATGTAAACTGGTTCAGCCACTGTGGAGAACAATATGGAGGTTCCTCTAAGATCTACAAATAGAACTACCATTTGATTCAGCAGTCCCACTTCTAGGTATCTTCCCAAAGGACAAGAGAATGCTCAGTCAGAAAAGTACTTGTACATTAAAGTTTATTGCAGCACTATTCACGATCACCAAGACATGGAACCAACCCAAATGTCCACAAACAGATGATTGAAAATGTGTGGCACATATATTCTATAGAATACTATTCAGTCATAAAAAACAAGACTTTGGCATTTGATAGTGGTCGGATATGGAGGATCTATTGCTGAATGAAGTAAGCCAAGATATGAAAAAAAGATATTGTATGCATCCACTTAATATATACCAAATATCCACACTCTATGGTAGAGATCAAAATATTGGAGGGCATAAAAGCAGTGAAAATAGTTAATGATGATAAGATAGTATGGAATGGGGCGGGAGAAGAGAAGAGGATAGAGAAAGATAGCAAGAGAACAAATAGGCATGACATTAGTGGGACACAGATATGGTTTATTACCTGTTGATGATGACGTGTATCACATGACTGACCACAGTTCAAGTCCCGGACCTGGTGGCTTGCTTTCTCACTTTCTGTCTGTCTGTCTCTCTCTTTCTCTCCTTCTCTGGTCAAATTAAAAATAAATAAATGAATAAATAAAGTTAAATAAAATATTTTAAAAATTTGGAATAATAATTGGGGAAAAATGAAAAGCTATTGGATGATGAAAATGGGGATTTTAATGACTCTGTATTGACTGATATGCATGGTATTCCTTCTGGAAAAAGAAATGTAATACACTGTAAAGTTATACATGGTTCAATGTAATATAAAAAAGATTATGATAATAAAAATAAGTTGGTGGAAAAGTAAAATTAAACTACAAGTTCATTTTGATGCAAAAAAAATTTTTTAATCCATATATAGATTTTCCATAAGATGCATTTTCCATGAACTTTTTGAGAGACGCCCCCCTTACCTGTTTAAGCATACCTGGAATATAGCAAATGGGTTGAACAATTTGTTTCAAGACAGTATAAGGAGTAGTTTATCTACTCATGTAGAAAGAGAGAGAAAAAAATTTCTCCTACCATGGAGCCTGGTCATGCTACAATCATTTCTCCTCTAATTTGCCATCTCATCCCATGCACTGTTTTTCAAGCTAGTGAGGCCAGGACTCAAACCCTGTTCAGCCATGTAGCGTATGGCTTCCTCTGCACAGCACTTACCTACTGCAATATGGGCTGGCCCTGTTTTCACTTTTATGCAAATACTAAGAATAAAAAACACGCAGTGAAACACAATTGTTTAAAGTGCTGTTAATAACAATTCAAGGTTCTTTTTTTAAGACAGCTATTATTTATAACTCCCATACATTTTTTCCTTTCCTAGAATAGAGTGGCCTATCATGTTTCCCTTGAATATAAAAGGTCTTCAAAAAGTTCATGGAAAACGCAAATTATACCAAAAAAAACTATAATGTACATACTGCAAACTATTCATTTCATCCTACCTCTGTCACTGCTCTTTACTATGGCGTATCATTCCCATTTTCTTTATTATTGGTTCCTTTAGTGTTTCTGTGCCAATCACTATTGTTGTCTACCCAGTAGCCCTTGTTAGGCAGGGCATAGGCTTGTGAACCAATCCTGGCCAATGAGACCTGAGTGGAACTCAGCTAGAAGCATTTGTGAACAGTTTTCCTCTGTAATACTGCCTCTTCTTTGTTGGACATGGTCATGTCTGTAGATGACATCTGGAACTCCTACATCCATCTTACAACTATAACAGAAGAAATCACCAGTATGCTGAGGAGGCTGAGTATAGACATGGAAAGCATCTGGATCTTCTATGACACTGTTCAGCTGTATAACCAATCTGGGAACTGCCCTGACTCTGAACTTTGTGTCATGTTAAATAAAAAAGTGTCTGTATTGTTTAAGCCACTTTGTAATTGATATTCTATAACCTACAGCTTAAAATGTCCTGATACAATTCTTTCCTCTCTAAAATTTGGCTATATACATATTTTCCTTTTTCTTCAGTCATCAAATGTTCATTAAGAACTCCCTATGGGGGCTGGTAGGTGGCATAGTGATAAAGGGCACTGGATTTCCACATGGCCAACCTCAGTTAGAGTCCCAGACCTGGTGGCTTGCTTTCTCACTTTCTCTCTCTCTCCTGCTCTCGCTCTTACTCTGACCCTCTCTGGTCAAATTAAAATTGAATAAATAAAT